GATGAGCTGTTTGTTTCGAAGCAGGTCAAGTATGCAGTTGCCCTGTGTTGCTGCATTCATTTTTTATCAAATGTTCTCCCTTCCTATATCATAAATTTTATGAAAGCTCATGAATCTGATAAAATTGCCTTTTGTATCGTAAGCAAACATTGGTTGCACAGCTGTTGGTATCCAGCAAAGGCAGGAGGATTTTTACAGCTGTGTAGTAGACAGGACTTGTCTGTTCACCAGTACAACATGACAGTATTTCTATGCTGACTTGTTAAAGTCAGCAGACCCAAATGCTGTATAAATTTGAGAATGGTGGGTCTGTTCTCCAGACTGGGGTKATGAATGAGATGATCCCCTTCCCCTAGCCCCTTCCACCTCGTGTTTCTTCTGTGGACTACGTGAAATTGTGTAAGATTACAGGCACAGTTACTGTAGATTTTTTTTTCAGTGAAACTTTGTGTATCCAGGCAACACTCAGCAGTTGATTTTTAAGATCACCTGAACACACTTTAAAATGCAGTATACTTTAATTTCTTGTTTGACTTTTTAATAGGTTGACTTTGTGATTAAGGAAGCAACTAATCTAGATAACTTGGCTCAGCTGTATGAAGGTTGGACTGCCTGGGTATGAGTAGGGAGAAAGCAGACGAGTCTGGTTCGGCGAGGTCAGACATCCACCAGAATCAACTCGGCCTCAGGCATCCATAGCCGCACCACAGGCGGTGGTGATGCACACTGGGGCTTAATCTGAGGAAACCTAGGAAATCTCGGTGCACTGGGAAGTGAATCCTGCAGGATAGCTGCACTCAGGGATACGCTAAACACAATGGTCTGCAACCCCCACGGTCAAGGGTGAAAGATCACCGCTTGAGCAACACGGTTTGTCTTTCTGCTCCGGAAGAACTGCAAACGTGTCTGGGGGTTAGCYGCAGAAAGAAATCGGGATGCTACAAACCGCAGAGTGATTTGGAACTCAATTCCACCTGACCCTGTGAACAATTCAGGAAACATCAAACCCTGTTCAAAGGAAAATGGGAAAAAAAATGGGGCCATGAAGAAATCACAGCAAAGGAAGATTTGATGCATTCAGATTCTTGTTACTCTTGTTGCTCGGCAACAGTGCTGGTTGAGATGACCAGTTAGTACAGGAAAAGGCTACAAAACGTAAACTTCAGAAATAGACTGAAAGCGAAGAGCTGTACATCCGATATACGCTGCATTGGAAGAACTTCTGAGATAGAAGAAGAAGCCTTTTGTTCTCTTCTCCTTTTCCTCTTTCCTTTCTTTCTTCCCTCCCAGCCTCTCCTTGCATACTCCTCTTTTGGCTTATTCTTGTAGTTTAGGCGTACTTCCAATCTACTTTTTATTTCAATCCTTCTACTTCACAGTTTAGTCAAACTAACAACTTAAATTTTGTTTGGTAAGCAAATTTTCCAAAAGCACTGAAAATATAGAACATCAATGATTACTTATGAGTTGGATGGTCAAATGCAAAATGTAATTTGGGTTATTTTAAAGTCATTTCTGTGATTCTATCATGTACAGTTTCTCAAAATTGTCACTGTGCATTTAAAAGTAATGAATCCTACAAGCATTTGATTTAATGTGCACTTCCCTCTGCTTGCAGTGTACACTTYTTTGTAATACAAATTGTCCCTCCAATTCATTCTACTGTGATTGCTGTAGTTTCTTTCGTACGACGTAGCTAATCCAATGTAATCTTTACCTTTTTAAAAACCAGGATAGAATATCTAGTAGAGTTTTACATTGTTGATGACAGATAAACAATAAAGTGATGTTCTGGGGGAGGTAGAGTGATACGCTTTTTACTTCACTTTCCTAATACTTTTAGTTCACACTTGTAAATTATAATGCTTCAGTTCACAAGGGTATGCATATAATCCAACAAATGAAGGACTCTCCAATTTTTGTTCAACTAGATTTGTAAAGATTTCTGCAAAGTAATTTTGCTTTGCCATGTTACTTCTATAAATGGTTGTTCAATGATGCATTCATAGTGAATCTTCCACCAAGGCTTTTTGTTTTTTAATCAGTTCTGCACTCAAAGTGTGATTATGGTCAGAAAAGTCTCGCTAAAAATGACATCTTCTTACTTACAACTATGTACTGCTTGTCTGTCATTCTTTCTTCCTTTTAAAAGTTCAGATCTTTGACTCTGGAACACCTTTAAGAAAAGGAAATTTGCCTTTCTTAAACCAACTAAGCTGAACATAATTGAGTTATAACTTCAGAATCTGTTACAGGTGATATCCAAAAGCAGAAACGCACATTGGCTTTTTCAACTCAGATAAATTTGCTTAGCTATGTATATAAAACAAAACAAAAAGACTTTGTAAATTTAGTGAATTCTTTACATGCAGCTGCTGGAAAAAAAAATAGAACCATGGGATGTTCCTTTATGCCATTTTAGTCACTTTGCAGAGTGAAAAACACTTCAGTTTTTCAGTCAAAATAAGGAATTCAGGCCAAGTTCCCTGTTTGAATACAATGCATTCAATTGAACGAATTTACAGCAGTTCATCTGAGTAGAAAATTTGGCTAACAWTTTTCAGACAACAAAATTAACACCAGGCCCAAGTAAAAGAAGATTTTTTTTATTATTATTTTCAGTATTTGCACTATGCTAACTGCCCTGCCTCCTAAGTAGGTCTTAGAGTTCACTTTTCTGTTGCCAATTTTTGTGGACATGCACTTTGAAGTGTGAGAAATTTCAAGAGACATAYGGCCTTTTCTTTCTTTTGTGTTGCATTCTGATTGCCTGAGTAACTCCAGGGAAGTCACAGGCTTCATACTGAATGAAACTCATGTGCACATGCATTCCACAGTCATCGCTTCCTGAACCCTCTGCCATGCTGCGTATTGCAAGAAAGAAGGTGTTTGAATGTTGCAGTGAAGAACATTCATACGCAGAACAAGATACTTCATGCTGTTAGTCCTTTTTACTTTTCTCCAGTTTAAAAGAAAAACAAAAACTTATGAACAATCTGTTTGGAGTACCATAGAGTAATAAGAGTGTATTATACATGTTGTTTTATTTCTTGGAAGTTGGGGGGAAGGGAGGGGTAATGCACTCACCTGTGGCTCATGTATTATACCTCTGCTGTCCAGAAATGAAACACTTGTGTGGAGATGGGTTCTTTACTGCATAATTTAATAAAGTTTTAAAATATAAATAATTTGTATCCTTCTTTTATGCAAAACTGCTTGTAGTTTTGGAAATTATGGAGGAGAATAAAAGGTCAAATATATAACATCCTGATTAGAACTGGATTCTAGAGAGAATTGTGTGTGATATTAAGGGGAACTTGCAGGTTTAGGAGTTTGTGGGGCTGTCAACTTCCATGTGATGAAGTCAAAATGCTTCCTTTAATGTGGAATTGTGTGCAAACATCAGTGTGGACATGGTGCAAGTGCAGGGCTTTATCAGGGGACTTCAGTCAGAGGTGCTGCTGCCAGCACTTTCTTATGAACTTTCTTATAGTGCAATAGTGGATTTTGAGGGTGGAGCACGACGTTTCTAAGGTAAGTGCAAAACAATGCATGAGGATTTTCACAGCTTTTGGGAACCATGAATTAATTTGAAGGTTTGTATAGCTAAGTCTAGAAGGAATAGAGTGCTCTTCAAAATCATTCAGGAATCTAGGAAATCAAAAACATGCCAAGGTCTTTGGCTTGGGCTGAGGTGGAGGCCAGTGCTGCTGTCTGCCGAGTTCATGAATTCAGGGGAAGGGGTGGAAAGGAATAATGTGTTTTCAGCAGCATTGGTAACATTTTTGTACATCCTAGAGACAGTGATTAAGCTCCTCATACATGCATGACTGAAACGCTGAGGAAATTGAGTCAGAAAAAAAGATATATATAAAAAATATGTATATGCGCTAGTGCCTTTCTCTTGTGTCTATTTTTGTGCTCTCTGACTTGTGAAATGACTAGAGCACCATGCAGGACTCCAGATGGTAATTATGGGGCCTCAGGGGCCTGTGCAGTAGTAGCAGAAGCTCTGGATTACTTCATTTGCTTCCTAGGTGGTAATTGGGCTGAAATCTCATGGAATTTGTTTCAGCTATTAGAGGCAACATACTGGCTGCTTCACATCCGTCAAAGGCAAGGTTTAAATATCTATGCTATTTAAAAAAAAAAAAAAAAAAAAAAAAAGCCTTAAGAGCAGGAAAGCCCAAGTCTTTCTCACAGCCTCTGTTTCAGCTATAATGGAAGATTGAGCTTTAAAGCATCCTTGCCTTTTTCAGTTTCAGAAACACCTGATTCTTCAAGGGTCATGGCACAAAGGCAGCATGCCTTTAAGAAAATGCTTCTGAAGAAAGCAGAGCAGCTTTTACAGGATAGGAAGGCCTAATGGGGGCTGTGGGGTGAGTGGGTAAATATGTTTTTCTGAGGTGCTGCAAGTTTTTGTACCATTGCAAGAGTTCTACTACGGCTACTGAGTGCAGCCAATCACTATTTTTTTTGACCAAGCGGCGTTAAGGAAGTCATGACTATGTCTCAGAGGGTGACTGCGCTCTCGCTCGATCGCTTCTCCAGCACGCCTGACCCTGCGGGMGCTTCCTCATTTACTGCTGCGCAGTACGAGGCCGAGGCGGGTGCACCGCACCGCGCCGCTCGGGACCTGCCACAGCGGCCGGCACAGGCCAAGCCGCACAGCCGCCCGCCGGGGCCGCTTCCGAAGCGCCAGCCCCGGCCCCGCTCGCGCAACCACCGCCCTCACGGCGGCGCGGCCGTTAACGGCTGCCCCGTCGCCGTCGCACTGCGGCGGCGRGGGAGGGGCGGCATCGTCCTCATTGGGCGGCTCCCCCTATTCAAATCCCAACAGCCAACCGGCCGCCGGCGAGGCCCGGCCGCTGCACCGCGATTGGCCCGCGCCGCCTTTCGAGCGGGCCAATGGCGACGCCGGGCAGCGCTGCGGCACGGGGGCGGGGGCGGGGAGGGGCCGCGGCTATAAGAGGCGGCGGGCGCGGCCGCGCGGGGGCGGTGGCGGCGCAGGGCGGCGCAGGGCGGCGCAAGATGGCGGAGGGCGACAATAAGAGCAGCAACCAGCTGGTGAGCGGCTGCGGCGGGCGGGCTGCGGACGGCGCCTCGGGGCCTTTGGGACTGTGCCGGGAGGCGCTGGGGACGGGCCTTCCTGCACCCGGCCCGCTCTCCCTGTGTCACGGCCATCGCGGCCCGTGGGAGCCCGGCCCCGCCGGGCCGCAGCCTCGCCCGGGGCGGCCGCCTCAGCAGTGGGAGCTGCGGGCTGCCGTGCTAGACCGGCCTGCAGGCCCGGGCCCAGAGCGGCTCCGTGCTGCGCGTAGGAACGGGCGCTGCCGTCGTTTTTCTGCCCGCGGGCTCGTATGTCGCCTTGCCCGATGCGCACGGCTTTGCGTTTAATATTTGTTGCCTGCGTGTTTCAACGTCCCTCGGCTGTGCTGTCGTGCAGTTAAAAGATGTGAGAAGGCAGTGATGGGCGCTGGGCAGTTAGCCCGGCTTAATGCTTAGGGGGTGGGCTGGGGCGTCGTGCCCGGAACAGGCAGGTGCTGGGGCAGCAGCAGGAGAGGCTCCCGCAGGGCCTGCCCAGCAGMGCCTCTGCACATGGGCAGCTGGCCAGCTAGGGATGCGGGAAGGATTCCAGCTGGCGCTTTCAGGAGCTTAAAAGTGGAACAAATGCTTATATTTCTGAACAAAAAGATAAATGGGTCCCTGTTGCTAAAAACATGCACCATATTCTAGAGGGATGTCCCCTTCAGAGCAGAGAGTCATATTTATGGAAACTTGGTGTCATTTAATGAAAAGTGATTTCTTATGGGCATGTGTTGGAAATAAGATGATGTTGACAAACCTGACTTAGCAAGCTCTTTCTACCTGACCCACTGGCAAAACAAGTTACTGTACCTCTAGGCTATCAGAGGCAGGCTACTACTTCTACTAGCAGTGTTATATTTCGATTTGTTTTCCTTAGATTTTCTTTYAGCTGTGGTGATAAATGTAATAAGACAAAAATAATAAAAATGATTTGATGTAAAATGTTTTCTGGACAAATGCAGCCTTTTTCCTTGTATGTGGGGCTTGTGTTCTATAAAACATGAAATAGATGTGATAACATGAAGGTATGTCTGATAGCCTGCTGAACCGCAGAATGACTGAGGTTGGAAGAGATCCCTAGAGAGTCCACAGCCTCCTTGAGCAGCCTGTTCCAGGGCTCCGCCACCCTCACAGTGAAGAAGTTTCTCCTCATATGGAGATGGAACTGCCTGTATTTCAACATATACCTACTGCTCCTTGTCCTATCACTGAGAACAGTTTGCCTCTTTTCTTTGTGGCAATCGTAATGTTGTAGATAATTTACAGCACTATTAGTAATGTAAGTACGGAGAAGGATTTATGACTTCTTTTTTAATCATATATGATATGTACTGGAGCTCATGTGAAATTTTGGTTAGTAATGTTTTCTTCTYTTTTTGTGTAGGCTGCGGAAACTGCTAGCTTGGAAGAGCAATTGCAAGGATGGGGAGAAGTGATTTTGATGACTGATAAAATTCTTCGCTGGGAGAGAGCCTGGTTTCCTCTCGCACTGATGAGCGTGGTTTCCTTTTCTTTCTTGTACGTAGCTCATGGAGCATAGATTTGTGTTGCACTTGCCTTGCTGGTAGCAGAACTGTTAAGAAAATCAGCAAGATGCTTCCTTTAAAAATCTAACCAGAAGCTTTCTTATTCAAGTTCTTTTCCCTAATGTGTTTTTTTTGTTTGTTTGTTTGTTTTTTTGAAAATAAAAATTGAACTGGGAAGAACAGGAAGTAACACCTATCACATCCCACTGATATTTTGCACTTCTTTTTAACTTCTCAACTGTAAGCTTAAATGTGCTGAGGCTGAGGGGAATGGTAGTGCTTTCTGCAAAGGCTGTTTGTCAGTGATAGCTGCTGCAGCTTCTTATGACCTTCAGCTGTGTATTGTTTGGGTATCCAGTTAGTCAGATATGKTTTTTTTTCTGTGGCTGTTTACTCTAAGACAACAGCAATACCATTATGGTTTGAAATTACAATAGAAAACTTTTATCCATTGAGCAGACTTCTCAGAAATGCGTCGTGTTTAGGGTGAATTCATCCAGTTTCRCACAGCTGGTACTTTTAGCCTGGCTCTTCCCTCCTTTAAGGGAGGAGGAGATGGGAGGTAGGGGGAGGACAGACTCCAGGAAATTCCTGGTCAATGGAGTGAAAGATACTGAGCTGGATTGCTGGAGACATTTCTGTAGGCTTTTATGCAGTACTCTAGTAGCCAAGATGACTCCTACAAGCCTTTTACAGATAAGTGTCTACATCACTTGGGAAGCTTGCCAGTTGCCTGTTTTCTTAAGAGTGAAGAAAAGAAGGCAGATACAAATGTTGAGCTAGGTGATATAGAAATAAACTGTCTTTTGGCTGATCTGCATAAAGCTTATGGTTCCCAAGGGGAGGTAAGGAGACTAGAACTAAATGAAWCTGAAAAGTAACTTTCAAGATAAGTGTAATTGCGTGAACTGCAGGATGTTCACTTATAAAACATAATTAGAAGAGGAAAAACACAGTATTGAATAAYATTGTGAGGAAGTAGAAGTGCTTCAAATTCTGAGTTTGGAATTGGTACTTTATCAGACATGAACTTGACACTGCTGTAGCCAGTCTGAAAAAACAGCTAAACATGCCGAGTATTGAGTAGACTGAGTATCCAGAAATAATTTCTGTTATCTTCTTTCTACAGGATGATTTACTACTTGGATCCATCTGTTCTGTCAGGCGTCTCCTGTTTTGTTATGTTCCTCTGCTTGGCCGATTACCTTGTTCCTGCTCTTGCACCTAGAATCTTTGGCTCTAATAAGTGGTGAGATGAGCTTAAAGTAGTTTCTTGAGTATAAATATGTTATGACCGTTACCAAAATGACAGTTGAATTTGAAATGTCGAACTGTATATGAAGACATTATAAGAAGAAGCTGGCAATATCTATATGAGAAGTAAGGATTCGTAGAAAATGTGTAGCTTTCTGTTCTTGAGACCGAACTGCTGCAGTGTGTCTGTTGTTCTTTCTCCCAGTAAGATAATTTTTTTTTTTTTTTTTGTGGAAGTACGGGCGTTTTCTGCTCTACATTAAAGATGTCATTTAGTTTTGCTAAACTAGTTTTTACTAATTAATGGGTATTAGATACTGACAACTGAAATTACAAGGAAGAATATWGAATCATATATTCAGAAGGAGAGAATAGCTGTTAAAAAAAGACAGTAAAGAATAATGCATATAGACATCATAAATGATAAGTTTTATATGAAAATTCTCTCTTTTTTTTCCCCTTCTCCATTAAAAGGACAACTGAGCAGCAGCAAAGATTTCATGAAATTTGTAGTAATTTGGTAAAGAGTCGTCGCAGAATTGTTGGTTGGTGGAGACGTCTCTTCACACTGAAGGAAGAGAAGCCTAAAATGGTATAAGAGTTTCAGGAGTTCGTCTGTGTTGTCTTTGCTTTATTTAAGTGTTCCAGAAGGGTTATGTCTGAAAAATATGGAGGCGGTTTGCACCTCTGTGTGWGTGTATACACACTTGTGTGCATGCACACACACACGCAGTACCCCCAGGGTAAACAGGGGGAGTAGGCCTGAGGATATACAGAAGTTAAAAAGGCAGGTTATGTGCTGGAGGTGTCCCTGCTTGAGCAGGGCGGAGTTGGACTGGATAATCTCTAGAGGTCCCTTCCAACCTCAACTGTTCTGTGGTTCTGTAATATGCACTCTCCTGAAAACAGCTTCAGGTACTATGTTACACATTTATCAGCTGGGATAACAGTTTAGTTTCATGACAAATACCTGGACAGAAAAGAATCTACATGCTGTTAAACTGATACCCTGAAGCTAGATGAGAAAATCCAAATGTAGACTTGATAATATCATGATTTTTATCAGGCCTGTATGTAAGTATTGCATGTTAAATGGGAAAGAATTTCCAGACAGTTGTAAACTTAGAACTAATGCCTCATATTCAAGGGAAGGGGCAGAATTCCCAACTTATTCTTGGTTAACATTTTCTTTTCATTTTCTTAGTACTTCATGACCATGCTGTGTTCTCTTGCTGTGGTTGCCTGGGTAGGACAGCAAGTTCACAATCTCTTTCTCACATACCTTATTGGTAAGTTTACAGTATGCAAAACAGAAATAACTATTTTGTGACACATTCCTGTGTAGGTAGGAGGCTAATGGAAGCTAGTTTTGATTATTTGAGTGTGGTGGGGGTTTTTTTTGGAGGGTTTAATTTTTTTAAAACAGTTACATGGGGTTTAAGGAAAATAAGATACYGTAAGCTGAAAGGACTGTTTAAAAAAGAACATTAAATAATTCTGTTTCTGTATATTTTTTTCCTTTTTTAGTGAGTTTCTTGCTGCTGTTTCCTGGACTAAACCAGCATGGGATCATTACAAAGTACATTGGAATGGCAAAAAGGGAGATAAACAAACTTCTCAAGCACAAGGAAAAGAAAAATGAATGAGAACTTAACTGCTGTTCACTCCTGTAAAAGGTTTCCATGGGAACAGTTTTGAGAATTAATGTATAATTAAGATAATAGAAAGAAGTTGTCTTGCTCCTTGGCTTACTTTTTCTTTATATTGGCTCCCTGATCAGTGAAAATGTCACTCGGACAACAGCTGTGGATTTGTGTCCCTCTTGCTCTGTTGCTGATGGTTTTGCAGTCTGAGCTGAGCTTGTGAAAGATCCTGACCTTTGACTTGTGGAGCTTATTAGTCTTCACAAAAGTAAGAGGCCCCATAAATAAATACTGCAACTCAAAAGAAACATCAATGTTGTAATGTACAAATAGCCTTCTTGTAATTTTGTTAGCTTCACCAATCATTCATCAGCTAATGATTTGTGGCTACCAGAAGTAGGGAAGTTTCTATTTCTCCCACTTTTTGGAGACATTTTACTACTGACTTTTGTGGGAAGATGATTACCAGAATAAGAATAATTATAGCTGAGGGTGCATATTCAGAATTGGGGGCAGAAGTTGATCCTGTTGCCTTGCTTAAGCTCTGTTTGCTTATTTGGCTGTGTAGATCAGATTGTCTGTGAAATAGGGTTCTGGAATACCTACATTTTTATTTCAGTTATTTAGCTGTAGCATTAATTTCAACTTATTGCACTGAAACTGTAGAAACTGAGTTAAGGTGTGTACCTTAACAGCTGATTGTTCTAAAAACTGCTGTTGTTGTGGAGCCATGTAATGCGTTTGGTTTTATGAATGTTGTCTGTACACAAAATCACCTTGAGTAGATTAGATTTATCTCTTGTAAATAAGCCTGTCTGAATTGTTTGTGCTTTTCTATGACCTCTTTTTTTTTTAAACTGAACTTTTTTCTTTAAAAAGCTAAAACCTGTGTTAATGTGTTTTAAAAGTTTACTGTTTTAAAAACTCTTCTCAGTATCTATTGTAATTGATGAATAGATAAATACAGACTTAAGAGAAACCTCTTTTGTTCTTTAATATAAGTTGTGCAAGTGTCTTAATCTAGAGCTGGACCTGAGTATGCGTCTGAGTGGCACAGGGKTGTCTGGTACAGTGCTAGGTCAGTGCACAGTGTCTTAATAGAAAAGCACCATTTGTTTGAAATGGCCCATAGCAAATAGTAAAACTTCTACCTGGTAAGTAGTGACTGCTTCTGCTGTAGAAACACTATCTGCAGATGATTGATTAAAACTGATGAAATGGACTATATTGTTAGGAAAGAAAGGAAAAATGGTGCCCAAGAGGTCCATTGTGTAACAGATTTGAAGTGCAGATTGAGATGCTCCACTGCAATATTGTAATCTTTGCTTTGAAGATGCTGTACTTGCACGGAGACATGTTCTCATTCGTGTTTTTACAGAGTTTCAACTGAGTCAGTTGTCTTGGTCTATCTGTTAACCTCAGACCTGCAGCTCTCTTTGTGTAAGTGCTAAAAAATGGGAGTACTACTGCAGTGCATAGGGTCTGGTTACTGCTTCAGTACAAATCAGATGTGTTACATTCCTACACTTATTTTTTGATATATGAATTGAAGTTGCTGTAAGCTTGCAATTCTGCTCCTTCAGACAACCTTGATTGGGGCATAAAGCTGGGGCCCTTCCAGGGGCTTGTSCTGTCTTTGGCTACCACTGTTCTTATAGGTGACTTGAAAACCGTGTGAACGCTTCCATTTGCCAATTTGTTTTGTTTCCCAGCAGCGCTGGCTGGTGACGAGTACTTCAGCATCACCAGTAGCAGGTTGCAGTGAGTTAGAGCAGAGGGTAAAATGTCACCTGACAGAACAGCCAGGCGAAGGGCGGGAGGGAACCTTTCACCGCTTCGTTGGGGTTGTCCTGCCCGGTGTTTGCCGGAGCCGGGCGCAGGGCTCCCCGGGSAGGGGGATCCTGGGCCCGGGGCCCTGTCCCTTCACTCGGGTTTCAGCCCCACGGCCCCGCGCTCGCTGCTCTCCACCAAGTTTGGTCGCTCCGCGCAGCCGTAGTGCGGCTCGCCGCGAAAGCGTGTGTGTCGCTATAGCGACGGAGCGGAAGTTCCGCCGCGCTGCCGCCGGAAGCAGCGCATGGCCAATAAGGGCCGGCGTGGCGTCGCGAGCGGGGCCTCCGGACAGGGCGGCAAGTCTCGCGAGAGCAGCGCGCGCGGCCTGCGCGCCTGCCACTTCCCATAAGGCCGCGCGGGGCGCGGGCCCCTTCCTTTTCCGCCATCTTGCTGCACCGGTGAGTGGGGGCCGCCGCCGGCTCTCGCCGCCATCCGCCGCGCGCCGCCGCCATCC